CCCCGATCCAAGATATCTAATGGTCCAGCCCTAACCATTGAACTATAAGTAAACTGGAAGGGGGATTGAAGACGTGCTTTGTAGGTAGTCCCTGCAGTCTAAAAATTACACTTTTTATATCGATAAATTTTACCCCTTTAATTTCCTTTTTTTCTTTTTCATTTTAGAGAATACTAAGACAGTCAACTGCTAAAGTATGAGGGCCAAAACAAAATTTGTCATAAAAACCGCGCGAAAATAGTATTATGAGACTTTCCAACAAGAGTTAAAAGAGATTTTATGACACAAATTATGTGGAAAAATATTAGATACATTTGCCAATTTATTTTCAAATACCCAAGACTTACTTTTAACGATTAAAATAAGCATTATCAAAGCTAGCTTGGCTGCCATATTCAACGTGCTCATGTAAATGCCCAACAAGAAGATGCGGTGGCGAAAATAACATCAATTGAAAAAGTCAATTTAAGGTGAATAAAACAAGGACTAAAAGCTCAAATACCTGGGGTTTAGTACAAACTAAGTTTTGGGACGTCAAAATGTTTAATCATGTAGTATTTTTTAGAGTTAAAGAGCGAGGTTTCCTTCGGCACGTCCAAACTTCGTCATTTTTTCAAAATACAAAAGCAAAACTCCTCACTTTTTGCTGCAGAGAGATGTAAAACAGTCGGAGCTAATCGGATATATTTAGCATTAAAATGGCCTGAGAATTGTTCAAAATACAAAATAATGTTATCCTGTATGGTTGTGACGTCACGTATATGCAATGATGGAGTGATGGACATGCATATCCAAGACTCCTTTGCATTATACTCAATTTTTATCGCATTCCCATGAATCATTGCACGGATAACGCTAGGGACTGTGGAAGAGTCAGTATCCAAGATGGCGGAATGTTCAATGCCATAATGATTTTGTTTGAAATGAAGTGTGTAATATCTTTTATACCAAGAACGATAAAGAAAATCTGTAAAAATGGTTTCAAATATATTGAATCTCTCTTCCAAAAGGGAGAAACTTAATTTTTATTGCTATTTTCCTTTAAGGACAAATTGCTTAATAGTCGACGTTTTACGGAATCACATTAATAGCACTACTTAATAAAGCTGTTATAGGGCATATAGATAAATAGAACTTGTTGATTTGGTATTTATAGTACCTGCATGTAATTCAGTTTTGTACAGCAAAACCATTCAATAAATGGATTATTATTATCACTATAATTGCAACTTATTATTATTATAGCTAATAATTTAAAGAGCCGAAAACTGAAATTTTGCGAATCCAATTATGCAAATACTTAATCGAATGTTTTAAACTGTGACTACGTTCCTGGAAACTTTGCATCAACGGGAAAATATTTTATATAGACCATCGCAGTATTGTGTACCATTATGACTAAACTGCCAGTAGTCTTGCGGAGAGTGTCACCTGATCAGATATAATCATGGTCATGGAATTGAGGATTTCAACTATATCAACACTGCAGTAGGGCGCATATATACTGTATGCATGCACGTGCATTTGTTAATTTAATATATAGAAGTTTTATACTGTATTCGCCTATGAGCAGGTACTGCTGTTTGCAAAGTCTAGTTCTCAATTATCACAGTTCAAGCACACCGTATGACATTATGTGAGTGATTTTCACAATTTCATAATCTCAATTTCCACGTGCCCAAGAACAGGTATACAGCTGTTTGTAACGTCTGGCGCAGCATGATTAAAATGAACAATATTGTTAGAATATATTGTTGAAACATTCTTCAAACAATTCTTCTTCCAGCAACGTTTTCAATTAAAATTGAAGCCTACGAAATTATTAATTGAAAGCCGTTAGTACCCTCATTTAAATATTTATTGCGTGTGGATAACGGTTGCTCCGAGCACAAGCATCCAAAAAACACATGTCTTATAGAACCATTTCCAGACGACAATTTTAAGAAATACGACACAAAACATATTCCGATCTGATCAACCAGTAAGACACGAAGTGTGCCCTGCTGCATATATCGTTCAGTTCTTGTTGATATCTCAACTATTGATTGCTCAGGCCGCATATCATGAACTTCATGTTAATAACTTAAATCTTGAGCGCACAAGCCAGATATGCTTGTTTCAGAATGGTCTGTTCCAGTGTAGGTATAGTGGCAACAATAAGAAAATTGCAGATTGATAGGGATACAACTAAATGAAAAATGCAAGGAGAACTTGAATGATCTGTTCCAGTGTAGGTATAGTGGCAACAATAAGAAAACTGCAGATTGATAGGGATACAACTAAATGAAAAATACAAGAAGAACTTGAAAGATCTGTTCCAGTGTAGGTAGTGGCAATAATAAGAAAACTGCAGATTGATAGGGATACAACTAAATGAAAAATACAAGGAGAACTTGACAGATCTGTACCAGTGTAGGTAGTGGCAATAATAAGAAAGTTTCAGATTGATAGGGATACAACTAAATGAAAAATACAAGGAGAACTTGAAAGATCTGTTCCAGTGTAGGTAATGGCAATAATAAGGTTTCAGATTGATAGGGGTACAACTAAATGAAAAATACAAGGAGAACTTGAAAGATCTGTACCAGTGTAGGTAGTGGCAATAAGAAAGTTTCAGATTGATAGGGAAACAACTAAATGAAAAATACAAGGAGAACTTGACAGATCTGTACCAGTGTAGGTAGTGGCAATAATAAGAAAGTTTCAAATTGATAGGGATACAACTAAATGAAAAATACAAGGAGAACTTGAAAGATCTGTACCAGTGTAGGTAGTGGCAATAATGGGAAAGTTTCAGATTGATAGGGATACAACTAAATGAAAAATACAAGGAGAACTTGAAAGATCTGTTCCAGTGTAGGTAGTGGCAATAATGGGAAAGTTTCAAATTGATAGGGATACAACTAAATGAAAAATACAAGGAGAACTTGAAAGATCTGTTCCAATGTAGGTATAGTGGTAATAATAAGAAAACTGCAGATTGATAGGGATACAACTAAATGAAAAATACAAGGAGAACTTGAAAGATCTGTTCCAGTGTAGGTATAGTGGCAACAATAAGAAAACTGCAGATTGATAGGGATACAACTAAATGAAAAATACAAGAAGAACTTGAAAGATCTGTTCCAATGTAGGTATAGTGGCAACAATAAGAAAACTGCAGATTGATAGGGATACAACTAAATGAAAAATACAAGAAGAACTTGAAAGATCTGTTCCAATGTAGGTATAGTGGCAACAATAAGAAAACTGCAGATTGATAGGGAAACAACTAAATGAATTTTCAGGTGGTTGTATCCCTATCAATCCGAAGCTTCTATTTAGAGTTGATGTTTTGTATCGTAGCTGGTATGGTTATAGATTGACTGATCTACAGGGTGAGTAAAAAAAACCTGATACCTTCGCGGGCCTCGCGGCTAATTTTAATAGCAATGTGTCAGTTTTTTTACTCACCCTGTATATACGGTCCCAGGGCTCTAATGATTTCATTTCGAACTTCCTCTCCACAAATGTATACTGAATATGGTGCATGACCTGCATGTCTTAGAAATATCGCTGAATGCGACTAGCCAATAGCAGTGGTATTATCAAGACATGTGTCAATGGAAAGATCTGGTCTATTTTTCTCAAATATCTAGCGAAAATGGACCTCATTCTAATGTTATCAAAATTTTCCGGTCAGATAGATCCGAACCCCAAATGTTTTGTGTTTCATTCAACAATTTGACCGTTTTGACCGGTCTGGCAGTGCTAATGGAAAGCGCCCAAAGACCATGCAGGGATATCCTGTCTAAATTCCCCCAACAAGAACAAAATGCAAGATATTATATGTTTAATCCGTACCGGCACTTCAGCAAATATTCAGTTATGAGATGAGATAGATAGATAGTCTTTATTAAAAAACACTTTGCAGTTTACAGAACTGAATTACGTGTTAATTGTTAAGATTACAAAAATTTAGTGGCTAATACTAAATATACATATGCATAGAAATGTCAAAAATTTAGCTAAAATTTTGAATACAAGCTGGGATAAACGTATTTAAGAATCTATTGCATGGTGTTAATCTTTGGAAGTTGGAAAACGCGGCGATTTCTGAGATTATGTTCTGTGGAACATCGCTCTGGCAGAAGAGGTGAAAGCTTGTGCTGAGGATCATTGGTGGCTTCCCTAAGGGAGACCTCCCTCAGAGAGGTAAGGCCACTTTCCTGTAATCGTTCGTCGTAAGTAAAACCTGGAAAAATTATTGATGTCACTCTCCTCTGAACTCGCTCTAAGTCAGCGCTAAGGTTATCCGGTAACGCGAAGTGGAAAGCTTCGCAACCACTCCAGAACAGGTCTTATACATGTGCTAGAGAAACTAATTATGTCCTTAAATGGTCCTTTTGCTCGTTTGAGTTGTATAATAAAGAACATGCGTTAATTTGCCTTCTTTATGATTTGAGCAACATGCTTGTTCCATTTCAAATTATCGCTAATTGTTACACCTAATATTTTAGCATGTGGCACTAGTTCGAGGTTTCCAGAAGCTGTATGCACACTTGGAAAGGGAGATCTCAACTTCTTGAACTGGATCAATAGTTTCTTACACTTCGGGACTTGGAGTTGGAATTTGTTCAGCGACGTCCAGGCCTCTAACTCGTCTACTCCTCGCTGAATTGCGCTGTTACGGTTCTTTGGTATTATCATAGAATGGTATTATTTCAGCAACCGTTGTATCGTCAATGTATTTCCAATCTTGAAACTCAGCGAGACTCAGATCATTTATCATTAGGATAAAGAGCCAGGGGCCCAACTTTGTTCCTTGAGGAACACCGGAAGGAACGTTCCCCCATTCGGAGAAACAGTCTCTTGATAGCTTAACAGGCTGTTCCCTAGATGTTAAAAAATCTATAAGCCAATTCTCTGCACATGTTGTGGAATAGAGAGCTGTCGGATTTTGCCCACCAGAATCTTATGATCGATCAAATGGAAAGCTTTGCGGTAGTCAAACAGACGAACACGTACGGACGCGCCAGTCCCATCGGTGCCATGAGCCCAAGTATGCAGCATGTTAATAATGGCTTGAGTTGCTGACGATTTCGGGATTCCTCCAAATTGCGAGGGGTTTATTATTTCCAACACGGCGGGAGCAACGTATCTTTCGACTACAAAATCTTCAGTTAGCTTTGAGAGGATTGAAGTAAGTGAAATTGGGCGAAGATGCTTATTTATGTCTCGAATTGGTTTATCTTTCGGAATAGGTGTAACATTCGCTTTTTTCCAAGCGCTTGGTAGTTTTTGCTCGTGGTAAGACGTGTTGAGCACCTCGGAGTTCGGACTCGCTAGGATTTCTGCGTATTCTTTTAGGACCCAAGTTGGAATGCAGTCTGGACCACATGCTTTAGAGGGATTCAGAGCCTCGAGCTTATGGAATGTTGACAAAGGTGTGGTTATGCTTGCATGTCGGGTGTCAAATGAGACTGGTGGTGCGTCAGTAGATGTAGAATGCTTCCAGTATTTTCAGTTGAGATATTTCCAAGTACATTTCACTTGAAAAGAATATTGCATTTTCGTAAAATTTCTGGTAGTACAAAAACGTGCAGGAAAATGAAACGCAATAAGCTCTGCATGGAAACGAGTTTGGAGATCTGCAGATGAAGGTAGATGTTTGAGAAAACTAGTCATTTTTCTTATCTTGGACGTGGATCTCAATACTAAAGTGTCTGGCGAAATATATTTCTGGTCGAAGCCGAATTCAGCATGTCTTATGGCGAGTAGGAGTCGTGAAAGGCTGAACAACAGAATGAAACCTAATCCCCCCCCAATGGAGTCGTCTTTCACAGAGCGTTCCGCTGATCACAAGCGAGAGGGACACAGGCACAGAATGAGAGACACAGTCCATGACATATTTGGAAACAAAATTTAATATATTTCGTGGGATATTGAGTACTTTCAAGCCCCATGAAGAGACACGACAGTTGATTTGAATTACAACTTTCCTTGTCTCTCATCGACTCGGATGAGAGTGCACGCGTGAGAGTCGTCTCGTCAACTCTCTTTAAACTAGTTCAAATTTTGATGAGAATTTTGCTACGTGTGGTCATATTCAGTCAACTCTTAAGAAACTCTTGTTAGCAGAGTTGAGAAACTTTCTGGCTCTCGTCCAAACCCTCATCAATTACACTCAGTCTCCTTTGACTGTCGCTTTAATGAAAATGGATTTCTATTGGACGTCTAAGGTCGTGGTTCTTTTCCATATTCTATAGTGTAGAATACGTAATTTCATCATTCTAAACTTCAGTGAAAACACTGGAACACCACTGCAAACACCCAGCGGTAGAGAAATGAGGAGAAAACTATTGAATTACAATATCAAGAAATAAGCGGGGGGCCCACATTACAACACGAGTATCTATATATATATACTCATCCTGATTTTAGCATAACATCACGAGTTAGAACTGGAATTATCTCCTCTCTGGTATCCTGTAGTCCATGAAGCACTGTGCCAAATATATAACTCACTTTTGTTGTATTTGGTACAAAACTCGCGGACGAGTATACTACAGGCAACATGATAGGCGATATTCCCGTCATGTTAAGTATGGATACGACCCCCACTTATTTCTTGATATTGTAATCTAATAGTTATCTAACGAGCGGCTATTCCAAGTCAAGTGTTTTCTTAGAGAGGGTCTCGTTAGGCACGAGTCTCATTAACAATACGTTTCATTTTTGATTACATCGCATGCATGAGGTCGTGATAAAACACCACCATAGCTTGGAGTTGTCTATTACTTAAAACGATCTATATAGTTTAACTATATGCATTACTCGAAACGTTTAATTGGAAGAGTTTTTTCTCTTTACACGCTGACAAGAAATATTATAGTTCAAGATATATATTACAAAAATAAAAAAACAACAAACGCTGAAGAGAATTTCTGCCATTAAGATATTGCAAGAAAACATTAATAATTGAAAATGATGATTTTTACAGTAATTTCCTTTGCTCGTTCGATTATACCATTACATTAATAATTATGATGGCACTAGATAGCGTTTAGATGCGCAATACCGGATTTCTCCGGCGTTTGCGGCTTTAGTTTATTTACGCTTTGATAATAATTGAACACGAGGGCTGTATACCCGGAAAATGTAAGGCATTGTCACCACGTGCTCCTTCGTTCCGTTGCGCAGTCGTCAGAGCGCCTTTCACTTCTGAGATCGTGGGTTTGATTCTCGCTACGGACTCATGTGGAAAGAGTCAGTCAACGCTCTGCCGAAAGTTGTGGGTTTTCTCCGGCCGCTCCTGTTTCCTCCCACAGGGAAAATTGACAGGGTGGGTTAAAGATAAATAGTTTAGGTCATACCAGTAAACGTAGTACTTGAGTTGACGATGTAATCGGTCACTGAAAATTAGCCCCGATTGGAAGTGAACTGAATGAGTAATAAAAAAATCCGTGTAAGGCTATATAATAACAATGCCCGAAAACTCCCAATATGGTAAGCCTCTGCGCGGAGGAGAGTGATATACCGGATTACTTTTTTGTCTACTGCAATCCGATACAAAATACACCCCGTTTAGGTTTCACGATACCGGCAGGGAGTGGATATTCAGATCATGAAGTATGATATGACAATCACGCTTTTCTTGCATGGGCTTGACTGGTTTTGATCGAATATTTTATTGTTAATATATATTTCATTGTTTAAAGAAAGCCTAGCCCTAACTTTAAACCATGCGATAAAGCTTCTTGAAGTCAATTATTAACGTCCAAGTACAGAAATATTTCTTGCACAAAAAAGGAGATGTTTGAAAGTTGCTTGGTTTGTTCGGAAACGCCGGGAGAAAAGGATATTACGTCACAAGATATTTCACTGGTCGCGCAACGTTAAACTATTAAGGAAATATAGTTATTGCTGCTTGAAAAAAAATCTTTGTGAATTAGAAAGTAGAATGACAAAGCCGTACGTATCGGTAACCGCAACATATACCGGCCAGAATTAATTTCGGTTCTTTCAAACCTTTTACAGTACGGCATAGTGGAAAAATACACTAAGTACATAACCTGACGTTGTCTAACTCCTAAGAGGTACCAAGTATCGCAAGGCAAAATAACGTTAAGGGGCCATTCACAATGGATGTCCGGCCAAATGATGGATTTTCAGACCCCCCCGGCATTGTCCGAATTAGTGATCCCCCCCGGACATCCGCCATGCCTCGCAAAAACTCACGCAACCTTGTATATGTATACAAAAACATATAAATTACTAATTAAAACAAAATCTAGTATTAACCGCATAGTCAAAATGCCAATTTCACAATGGGAAGGAGAGTTCAAAAAAGAGGAAAAAGAAATTTGTTTTTGATTTTTTTTTAAATTTTGGACATCCGGATTGCTAAAAACCCCCCTCCCCCCCCCCATGTCCGAGTTTGTCCTGATTTTCCAAAACCCCCTCCCCCCCCCTCGGCTTGGACATCCATTGTGAATGGCCCCTAATAGTATAGGCTATGTACATAACTTGACGTTTTCTAACTCCTAAGAGATACCAAGTTTTCGCAAGGCAAAATAAACATTAATAGCATAGGCCAAGTACATAACTTGACGTTTTCTAACTCCTAGGAGGGCAAGTATATGCAAGGCAAAATTGGTGACATCTTTCACCAACACAGCTGGATATCAAACTTGTTAGGAACTTGATGACAGAATTTCAAGGCTTAGTTTCATCAAATAAATTTGCAACAACTTGTTAATTGCTACAATTTGTGGGGGGCAACATTATATTAACAATAATATTTTCTCGATATATACTTAAGAATTTAATAGCATATATCCGAGCCTATTACTTTTCTTCTGACAGCCGATTCACCCGCTTTTAAACACCTCTGGGTGGAACATTACAGTACATTCTCTTATTCTCTACACTCTAGAGCCATTGCGTAGAATTCCCATTGTAGAGAGGTCAACATGTGGTTAGTTGACTGTCCTTTTGCGGTTGTTCACCACCCTTGGTGTATACCACAAGAATGGCGACCAGACTGAAAAGTTTTATTTTGCGCAGGAAATAATTTGGGGGAAATAATTTTCCTTGGGAAAAATGCGCATAAATGTCGGATACTTTCAAAGAAAATTTATGGCAGACCAAGGGATCCTGCAGTGAGTAAGTGTCAAATAGGAAGATCATGATCAGAAATCTGCTTGGTTCTCAATTTCGTTCCTCGGCTTTTCCCTCTTGCTTGGTTCTTGGTTCACAAAGGTATGTTGTGCAGATTCTTTGGAAATTATTTGCAGTTTTTTACAATCTAAAAAAGTTTGCCCAGATTTCCATAATCGCAAGAACCGTTTCCGCAGGAAAAATTAATTTCCTCTAAAGCCAAAACTTTACAGTCTGAAATGGCGAGATGATTTTTACTTAGAGGACTACGAGTCTATGTTGATCAACTGCAGTTGGCAGGCTTTATCTCAAACTTAAAACCACATCTTACGCTCTGCGCACCATATATCAAGGTTTTTAAGAGAACCTAAAATCCCCCAGTTTCCTGAAATCAATGTTGTTGACATATTTATAGGCAATATAGCAGTCGATTATCAAAATGTTCATCGTCGCGCTCGCGTCTAGCCTCCTCCGCATGCATCTTACCTGAGGAATCGGAGAAACCCTTTCGCAGGCTAAAACCCATAGATAGGCCTGCGGAGGAGGCTACTCGCGTCTATACAAACGCATTAACTCAACCACAGCTCTCTCCTTCCGCTTCTAAACACGCTGCCCGCGACTTGAAATATGCCTTTGTTGCCTGATCGCTGCCGATTAAAGATGAATTGGCATGCTTGGAGCCCGCGTTAATTCTGCACGCTAATGTGAGGGCATCAATGCAAACACAAAAACGACACGAAAAATTATATTCTCTGAGCTATTTTTATACACTGAGCTAATTATTAATTAAAGAAGCCAAAGATGAACGGTTTGTCACAGGTAGAAATTAAAAATTAATTTCAGAAGTTACTCTTAAAATTGATCACAATGGCGCGTAGTGCTGTGCTCATTTGAATACATATTTTTAAAATACAATGTTTCTTGTCATTGGATACACGCGTGTAAAATGTTACTAAAATGACATTAAAATAGGAAATTACACTTGTTCTCGAAGTATTACACCCGTTTTCAAAATTACACGACCAGGCCGAGCTAGAGTTGTTGACATGTCTCAGTCACACGGTCACGAAGTTCAAATTGTTTCTATAACCTTCAGTTTTACGGTTCATTATCCATGCTTTGTATGCTATATAATAAAAAGGTTTTGAAGGATTTTCAAGATGTTTTAGTAATAATTATTTATTACTGCACAACAAAATTATAATGTCACCGCTATAGTCTAGCGCAAGCGGGTTTCTTACACATTGAATTCCACGACACAAATTCCTGTTGTTTCTTTCAGTTTGAATATATGTAACTCATTTTAGTTCAATATTCTTCTTTAGGTATTAAATACGGCTTAAAATGTCTTTTCTTTACGTTTGCTGATTTTAGCACGCTAAGATTTTTTCGGGTAGGTCACGTAATTTTGAAAACGGGTGTAATGAAATATCAATATTTCGAAATGCAAATATTTCGCCAAACACGCGGCGATTTATTATTAATACTTCTCGGCAACTGTGTAACAGAGTTTAATTTTCTGATGGACGTTTCCAGGCTATTCAGCTATATTCATAGCGTGACATGGTATGAACGCGAATTCTACGTAATGCATGTATTCAGTTCCTGAACTGTGCCACTGTCCAGTTTCCAAGATAAGGTGCAGTGCATTTAAATTGTCTCAAACGACTCAAAGTACGACAGTGAAGCTAAAATGACCACGTTATGCCGATGTGATTCGGTTTCCGTAAACAAAAGTGATCATGTTGTGTTTATATGACTGCTTTATCGGTGGGACGGCATTTAGTGAATTTGGCAATTGACACGGCAACGGTAAAGCAAACTTGTTTTTCCTGTTAAAGTATTTATCTTTCTTGAGTAAGTAAATTTAGACGGTCAAATAAATTTCGATGTCATGCGTACTATTAAAAATTGAATTTGAATTTATAGAAGAGTATAGACAGACTTAAAGATTGAACGCATATTTCCCACGATTCTCACAATTTAGCTCACCCTTAGTTCCTGTGAGGACATCTGAGAAACATGTTTTTCTTTTCTGCTGAACAATTACCTCGCCAAGTCTTTTTATGGCAATTTCAATGCATGGCTTCACCGACACTGGGTAGAAACTGCATGACATCGGTAATTAGGTTGGGCGAGGGAGTTTGTAAAGCGGATGCAGTCAGGGTGGGTAACACTGTATAGTATGCAGTGGGAGTGTGATAAATATTTCACAAATTTAATATTGTGAACATCCCACGATTCTAATCTGCACGCATTAATCTCCACTAATTTAAACCATATCAATCTTAGTGAGTAATGCGTTTTTCAAAGCCAAACTCGACATCCACAAATATATATAGGAGAAAAACGCAGCAAAACGCAGCATGCGATTTTCGCATGTTTCACCTCACTTGAGCTCAACGTGAGAACCATGGTACAGATTTCAAGTTTCTAAGAATTAGGAGGCTAGCTGTGCACCATGTCAGAGTGAACATGATTAGAAGAACATTGTATTGTTTCAAAAGCATCCTGAAGATTCCCGAAGCCATATTTATCAATCTATATTGGGCACTCAGTTTATTTCTGGCACGAAAATGCTCTAAACCTAACCTACGTTGTTTTTTCACTTTTCAGGTAGACGTGGGATCTGATCTGTGAATCTACTGACTGATCTGGTCTCAAAACAAGACTTGTATTTTCAGGAAAACGTAAAAACTTTGGTCTTAGCGCCGGCTGCTGTGTAGATATAAGTACCCTTGGATGATCTTATAAAAGATAAAAACACTTGAAAGTCTCAAGTGGAAGCCTTAGTTGGAAAGAAGCTGCATGTGGCGTTTTCATCTGCATGCCTCGTCCTGACGGAGGATGTTGGTGTGTCAAAGTGTTTTTATCAGTCATATGCTGACAGTCTTCCAAGATTTCTTGTATTTTGAAACGTAGACATTGCATGTTGTCATAACATATACACAAATATACCAAGAATGTCCAATATAATATCGAGTGTTTGTGGGTGAGCGTGCAAGATTTAAAATATAGACAGTAGGAAATAAACTATATATGTCACGAAATCTATCATGTCTCTCGATCGACATAAGTCATTCAGTGGCGCAGTCGTCAGAGACGCCTTTCGCCTAAGAGATCGTGGCTTCGATTCTCTCGTTGTCCACTCATGTGAACTGAAGAGTCAGTCAACGCTCTGCCGAAAGTCGTGGGTCCGGGTGCTCTAGTTCCCTCCCACAGGGAAAGTCGACAGAGTGGGTTAAGATAAACACAGTTAAGAAAGTAATATCACAATTGTTGTAAAAGATAAAATAGTCCAGGCTAAGTATGTAATTAGGTATAAGCGTAATACTTGATGTAAAGCCATCCTTAAATTGTAACGACATAGACGTAGAAACAACAACCTTTTAAAACTGCAACCAATTACTAGCATTTTTGAAGTCTGACAAGAAACACCAAATCACCTCATCACCCGACAGATGCATCAATGCTACCCTGAGATTTTTAAGGAAATTCGGCTTAAACATCGCTGGGATTTTCTTCTTACAAACGATTTTCAGACTCAAACTTTTTTTTGTTTTAACACGTATTTGGTGCAGTGCCTTAACTGCTTCTTGAACTCTACACAAATCTTGAATCACATTGGGTTTCATAGCAACAAAACTGAAGTGCAAGCGTCATTGCAGGAACTAGTTAATATCAAGTGATTGGAGTGTTTTTGCCGCCAGAACAATTACATCATTTGAAAGTCTTTTACTAGCCTTCTGTTGATACACTGATGACGTCTGCAATGTAATGATTTACATCAGGCCAATATTTTACATGAACCATCTAAGCCAGTGGGTGGGACAAACAGTGCAGGTTATATAAAAAAGAAATTAACAGAAATTAGTAGAACATTTGGGCCAACACACCATACCACACCAATGCCACACCATATCAATACCATACCATATCCATACCATACCTCAACACACCATTATTGCATTAAGTATCGAACTGTCCCACTTAACTTCATACACGTAGTTATACCGTCATACCATGTAATACTTTAGTTTAAGTAATTGGTTAAAACAACAAATAATTGGTTATCCGCTCCGATTCAAAATGCAGAATGAACATGAGATAACAATTCCTAGTTGTTTTAACATTCGTACATTCAGGTAATGCCTTCTCTCTGCATATTCAGATACGTATGGTTTCAGTTTCCGGGAGAGAACTGACCACTGGTGGGGTGTCAATCAGTTCAATCCAGGCGACATTTCTCGCCCCGTTGTTTATCCGTAGTAAGTGACACGCCTCATGTGGAGGCTGTGGTGGAGGCCACTTACAGCACTACACTATGACAAATATGGGAAATTATACACCTCCGTTTACAAGAAGCCTTTCGAGTGTGATTAATGAATGACATTCATAGTCGTAACAGTCATGGTCAAATCGATCTTACACCTCGAGAGCGCGCACGGTACGTTGGGAATGTTACTCAATTCCTTCGCACGCATTGTGTACCTGGTCACAAATGTGAGGGTCCTGTCATTCCAAGGTACAATCAGTGACAAAACACTTTGGACAAAATAGCTAAACAGCGTACGTTTACGACATAATCGACCCCCCCGCACCCCCCGTTCAATGTTGTGTGTGCATGGAAATACCTGCGCAAAATGTTCCTCGCCAGCGACCCAACATTGTTTAGGGTGGGGGACGGAGGGATAGTGTTATTACGCTGAACAGTATTTGGAAATGCGCAGATATGTCTATATTATATCAGTGTCCAAAAACCTTTTGTCACTGATTGTAGGTAGTATTCTACAATGAACTGCCGTGGTTTGTGTCTGAACTACCTGATGAAAAACATTAATTTGTGGAGTGTTTGGGAAGTGTTTTTAATCTTTCAGGTAGTTAAGACGCAAACCAAGGAAGATTATTGCAGATTATAACTTACACTGGCCCCCACGTGTGAGATAATAGTAAAGCCTCATATTATCATGTTTTGTGATTGACTTACAAACGTGATATGGGATCCAACTTGTATTGGGTTTCATTGTTATGATCAGCCAATCACAAAACATGTTTCCATATAATCTTGAACGGTCAGTGTAGGGTTGAAAAATACAAGGAATTGAACTTCTCCGTTTTCAGGTGGTTGCATCCTTACCTACGAAAGAGGTTTATGTGTAAGCCGATGCTGAACTCGGCAACAGGGAACAAACAAACAATGCAAAGAAAATTTAAATAAAAAATCTCATTTATTGATAGACTCCTTTCTGTAAATTTGTTCTTCCATATAATAAATACTTTATGTACATTAATTACTTTGCAATATTTACAAATAAACTTCAATATTTTCTCTGAAATAATTTCAACATATTTACACATACATTTATAACTATTTTAGCTGCAAATATTTGTCTTTTATCCAAACAAACATGCACATTTGAACAACACTTTCTAAACAAATTCTTGATGGGTAAATGAACAAATATTTGCATCTAAAATACCGATTGTTCTAAAAAGTTCTTAACTTATAAAGTTCTCAACTTAGCAAACTCGTTCTGAAACAAGAGTCATAAGCTTTCTCTTGCCACGATACAATATTTTCATGTTCTCAATAAGCGCATTAAATCTTTTATCACCGTCTTTTGCTAGTACAAATATTTCTTTGGCTTGCAACAGGAAATCAGTAAAGTCAGTGTAGTGTTTAGGGCTGATTTGATTCAGTCTGTTATGAGCACAGTTCACGTATGCGTTGATAGCAGCTTCAACCAAAGGTTGCAGGCATGGATCATCATAGGTTAGGCGGGTGGGACCACCTGATTGCGGGTTAATCTGCGCCACACCAACAGGTGTTAGTGTACAGCGGTGCAATAGATCAGAGAGGACAGACGGACATTGTACTGCGTTCACAATCAATAATATCATATGAGCCAGTTCAGTTTTCCCCAGGGCATGAGCAAGACCACAGGCCCAGTGTACATCACCAACAGAAGGACCAGATTCATTGTTAGCTACACTGGAGTGTTTGATAGCCAGCCCCGCCAGACGAAATGCTTTGACTGGATGGTTCTTGTGGTCCATGTATCTCGCGATAGCAAACAAATGTGTGGGGGAAATTGAGCCAGCACACTCGACAATGATACGGTACGCGGTCTCAAAGGTCTTAGGTTCGGTTTCACAGAGTGTTAGCGCTGACAAGGCACACGACTGAGGATCTTTGTTTATACACTGGAATATTAGGGCTTGGATGTAAGCATGTAAGGAATCTTGTTCTGACTGACTAAGTTCGAGTTCTTGGTAAGCACACTGGGACATTGCAATTGGTGCGACACAGTTGGTCACTTCAGTGGGAGTGAAGAGGGATTGCCAGTTTTGAAGGATGGTGACAAGGACAGACTTATCTAACTGTAAGGAACACGCTAATAACCATTGGATAATATCCCGGCGTTTACAGTTTGTTTTGTTGAGTGTTGAGGTCAAAATATGTAAACCAAGATCTAAGGCGCTTTCACAGATATCACGATCTTCATCACATTTCAGTTTTAAAGTATCTTGAGCCAGACGGAATAAATAAGATGCATTGTGAATGTGTTTCTTGATCAGAACTAACAGACTTTGTAGTTTATCTTTGTCATCCTTGCATGATTTAATCATACAAGCAGCCAGTTCACATTGTTGTGCTTCCAAATGTGCAAATGTATGCCATTTTGTCTCGCTTGGACGCTCATTTCTCACGAAGTCACTTTGTAATGCACTCATTCCAATCTGGAATGCAAGTTCTCTGTCCTCGTGGATCAAAACGTTAAATAAATACCGCGCGAATGTTTGAAGTGGTACACTGTTCTTATCTACACATAGACCACTACCGTCAGACGATTTCATTTCTAGGATTTTACACGCTTGTTCATGTATAATGTTCAATAAATTATTGTCTAGTTTCAACATGGTTAACTGCGCAATGAGTTGTTCTTCCTCGTTACTTGATTTCTGTTGACCAAAAGATGACTTGGGCATACGGCGATGTTGACTCAGCCCGATTAGTGCAACATGTAAAGCTAAGTTTATGTAAGGTTTATCTGTCGTATCTTCGTCGGTAGCTTCCGTCAAGGTATCGTATAGTGTCGGAATAGGTTCGAGAACATTTCCAATCCAGCCCGAAGTAGCGACGGACGTTGTAAAATCTTCTTCGCGTATTTTACGTAATGTTTCATCTTGTTTTTGCTTCATTCCATTCGCGACAGCCACAGCCAAACGTAGAGCCTCTGTTTGGAAACCGTGAGTTTTTAATGCATCAATTCTTGCTGCTGATATACAGAGATCCTCTGAAAGATTGAGAAAAACAATTAGGTACCGTTAAATACAGTTGAATACACATAGTCATGGATCCATTCGAATTCAATAGTATTCAATCAGTAATTTAATATTTTGGGATAATCTTGGTCGCCATAACAATACATTTAGCAAAAACGCACAAGCGGAAAAGACGCGTTTTTTTAAAGGCAAAAAGCCAAATTTTTACCTTGGGTTATATTCGTGAATATTCAGTCAAACCGCAAAATTTAAAAAATGGCTATACAATATCTGAATCGCTTTTAATATTTTTCATCTACAATTTGAGACTGCGATCACGAAAACCATATCAAGTGTAAATTCTGCCTTTAATAATTAATTGACTAAGTTTTTGGAAAGCAGGAACGCTGCCCAGACACAATCCAAAATTAAAAATTATAAAGAAATAAAGATGGAAAGGGAATTTGATGCTTACCGAACCAAACTAAATGTTGACCATCAGATTTCAATATTCTCTGAAGCACTTTACTATTCCAGTCGAGATCACAAGCAGATATTGCACGCGAGAACACGGTTTGTTTTCCAGAATTTTCACAAGCTTCATCTTCAATAGGGCAAACTTCGAGATCACTCCACTGTTGTAGTTGTTCCTTCAAGGATTGTTTCTCGTGAGATTCACAGTTTGGATTCAACGCAATACACATCCAGAGCGCGCCAAGATGACCCCAGAGTTGGCGACATTTGTCAGTCATCGCGACATTTTGCTGAAGTCTTGGATCAGCCAGAAATTGCTCAGTGATCAAAGTCAACATTCTAGGACCATTACAATCCTGAACACGCAATAATTCTCGCACCTAAGAATGAAAAATATCAAGGTTTAGTCAAGATGATAAATATACAGTTTAAAAACGAGGAACTTTATTTAATTAATTAGACTTAAAATGTTTAAAATAATTGTTTAGAATAAGCAGGGGCGGATCCAGCCCAAAATCTGACCATAGCATTTTCCAAGACCTCGCATAGCTAGGGGTGTCCGGGGGCATGCCCCCCCGGAAAATTTTTGAAATTTGAAGCCCGGAAATGCCATTTCCTGCGTTCTGGGCACTGCATGTGACCATTAAATTTGTCC